TAGCACGAAGAAGCTCCAACATCAACCATGAACACCGACATTCGGTCACCGTGATACTATTTGGCACTCCAAAGCACGGACCTACGTGCAGTCTAATTGCATCATCGGAACAAACAAGAAGAGAAAGATACATACGCGCTCGTACTTGGCGCTCCAACGAAGATGTCCCATCAAATTAATTCGTTTTCGTTTGACGAAGCTAATTAATGGTAGCAAAAAGTAATTGAGCATTTGCACTTATATTAACATAAATAAGCTAAAAGTCCATACTTTTGAGATGGTATCAATTATGTTACATTGATTTTTTGCTAGTAGAAAACCATGCAAATTTCAAGATTTTAGGTATCTCAAATACGTTCTTATTCAAAGCTGCCTAAATATTGAATAAAAATTGAACAAAAGCGTCTTTAGTAGAGAGTTTGTAAAATCCTTTTTTAATCTTTCTTTACGTTAATTATTCGCTGAATAATTACAATTTAAAAATGAACAAAAATTTACTGAGAAAAAATGATCCCCTATTTAATAATTTTTTTGAGCAGTGTAATTTTACAGAAAAATATTATTAGACACAAAGGTCAGCATTGATTAAATAAGGCTTTTTTCAGTCATTTGTGTCATTTACATATTGACTCTTATTTATATACGATTTTTATTTATTGCAGTTGTAATTAATTTTTCTTTTACAAACAGAATAAGAAAGAAAATAAATTATTGATCTGCATGTCGAAGTTTACTATAAATTAATTTACGAAAACTTTCACTGATAATGTATTAAAAATGAAAAAAATCGGAAATAATCTTTGACAATATTAATCAATTATAATAAAAAATTACTTCAAATCGGATTAGATGTTTCTTATAAATTCTTGAACGCTAAAATGATGCCACAATCCAAAAAGTTCCAGTCAGGTTTCTTCAAAATAATTGAAATTTAATGTCAAAAGAATATGACTATTTTAATGATATTTGACATTCTTTTGAAAAGAAGATTAATATTCTTGCACATCTTTTGCAAATTTGCAGTAATTAACTTTTTCATTAAATTTAACAAAAATGAGCCTCTGACAAAATAGACCCAAAACTAACACAGTAGGCAGTAATGCCCCATATTATCCATAAATACATAATTGCTTTTAGTTTCGATAGGACTATTTGACACTAAAACGCAACACGATAAAAATTAAGTTAGCTTATGATCTATCTTACAAACAGGCTAGTTTACGCTGAAATCTCTATTTTATATTTAAAACCATATTATAAAAAAAAGTATGAAAAAAAAAATATAAATAAAACTAATTTAAAAAGAAACGAAATGTACACACGTAAAACAATATAATATTATCAATAATATAGCTACTATTATTTAAACTTCGCAAGTTGCAAAAGAAAATCGTAAGTATTTTATTTTCACATTTGTAAGAATTCATTTTTAGTTAATTATAGAAGCCATAAGTATGTGAATTATGAACTTTTATTTCTTTAATTATCTCACTGTTTTATCAGTAATTAACAAAGTGTAATAATTTCCAAAGAATAAGGGGATGACTTTTTAGGAGATGTCAGTACCGATGACTTTCCTGTATAAATTTAATTGTTTAATTAAAAAGCGAAACGATTAAACGAAGAAGAACTTAAAAAATACACATATGACATTATTATAATTTATTATCAAGTTAATTTATTCATGATCCATGCGATTTAAAAAATTTTTGATTTTACATATATCAGTTATTTAATCGAACTAAATAACAAAAAAATTACATTGCTTATACAAAAATTAATTAACATTTAAAAAGGTAGAAAAAATCTATGTACACACACACACACACACACACACACACACACACCCACACACACAGATACATTGATAATTGGATACTGCATAAAATCAATTTTTAATGTTAATTGTCTAAAATAATGAACGCTACATCAAATTGAACTCTATGAAATTTTATTTTTAGAAGAAAAAAATGAAAAGAGCGAAGCAAGAAATGCTTTTATATGATACGATAATAATAATAATAATTTAATGATTATAGAAAACGCTATTCTTAAAGAGTATACGCAAATATTACAAATATATTTACAAATCATTTTTGAATTAATAATTTCATTCGTATCTACTCAAATAATTGTCAAACAACTTACGATAAGTTAGCGTTTGTCTTTGACACTGGAATCTTGTAAGAACGTATGCTCGAAGAATATGCTTATCTAAATACTTAACTAGATTCTATTTCTGTCATTTAAGGAATATTGTTTAATTTGGCTTGACTAACACTCGACGGAGATCCCACACAGACAATCTCCAAATAATCTCTGTCACAAACAATCTCCAAATGCTCTCGTTAATTACATATTTTAATTAGATTAAGACTTACGTTTTCATACTGCTTTAGAATAAAGCATACATAACGTCGTAGTAAAATATAGTCAAATATTTTATTGGCCTTTATTTTCAGCTTATACGTAAAATTCCATATTCTTAAACGCGAGAACGATCCTTATACTTTGTAAAGAAATAGATTATCTTAATCTTCATAAAAGGCTCCGAAGAATAAATCACAGGAATAAGAGAATCCAAGCAAGAAATTCAACGTCTATCTATATAAATTTCTCACATTTCTCATATTTGTAGGATTTAATTATAGAATTAGTCGTTTTCTCATATGTGAAAATACATGTTATTTTAAAATTTTTAAAGAGCTTAACTGTTCATCTTTAATATTAAGGAAGATAATTATTATAAAACAAATAAACGGATAATTGTTGAAATATGTAGTATAAAATTATCAAAACCACTAAAAATATTAATCATGAACTACTTATCGCATAATTGATAAACATGCAGTATTTTTATTATTGTTCGGATTAAAAGCGACTTTTATATTGCATGTTCCATTACTTTTGTTAAACAACTATTGTACATACAACTGTTTATTCAATTTCACATTGAAGATGACGCAATACTAAGAGTTGAAACGTCTATAAAGAATTTTTTGTCTCAGATGTATGAATTCTATATGCGATTAACCAATGTTGGCTCACATTGGCTTGGATTCTTATTTCTGTAGATTATATCTTAGGCCCCCAAAGAATATTTTAGAAATAAATTTTTTGATAAATTTGCAATTTTGCGAAACTGAAAAGTTTTGACAAATTTCTCTTAATATTTCTGTTAAGAAAAAATTTTCAAAAAACTTGTCTCTAAGATATTATTTGGTAGGTCTAAAACATGTTATAAATTTATTAATCCGGCTTTCATTCTCATTATCACGCAAACATAATATTTTGGTTCCCATTTATGCATTCGCATAAGCTGTAATGTATGTATCGTAGAATAATCTATGGCGATCATATCGGTGCAGAAAGAAGAGAAAAGTTTATTTCAATCATAAATCTTATAAGTATGGACTGACCAGTGCCTATAGTTTTTGAAGAAGTGCCAATGCCAAAGATTCTAACACCTGATCTGCTGATTTTAGCATTTTGATTTTTATTCTAAATATAACTAAACATTAAAAAAATCTAGATTTTATAAAATTATCACGATTTTTTCACGTGGCTTTTCGGACTATAAACAAAAATCGCTTGGGAAAGAATACAAGGAGCGCAGCATTTCGCCTGTGAGTGAGCTTCAATTGGGATCCACGGTGAAGGCACATGAAATGTGTTCTTCATAGTACAATTTTATTTAAAAAGTCACGAACGATCATATTTGAAATTTCTGGAAAAATTAAAATTTTGCGGAAAATATATGGAACATTCTCGGAATATGTAACGATATACAAATGGAATTTTTAACCAATATTTGAATGTTGCTTTTACATTTATAAATATTTCAGGAATACTTAGTGTTGATTGGGTAGAGTCCTTTGAAAATGTAAAATGCAAATAATTAAAAAATATACGAAACAAAACTAAAACCTTATCTGAAGAGATAATCTTAATGAAATATATCTCCAATAAATATATCAAGTATAATAAATATATCAAGCATACGCGAAACGTATCCCAACAGCACAAAACTTGCAGCAATATTGCTGCAACTTTTATACTGTTGGGGATACTTTCAGAAACACTTTTAGAAAGAGAAATACAGACACGATTTTGCTTGTATTGCCAGTCCATATTTATTATAAGATCTATGATTTCAAACCTAGATTAACACAGAACATATTTGGCACTTGTAAAACAGGCACACGCATTACTTACAAACTACGACTAATGCCTTGTGATATATATATTCATGAGAAAGGACGAGCCATACAATGTCACCACGAAAGTATATTCGATCATTCTCTCTTCCAGATACGTTCTTATGTCTTTCACTTACTTATATCGCACTTCATACAGTTTTAATGTATATCGATTCGAACGAACATTGTGTCGTACATTCGCAATAAATCGTGGTGCAACAATGCATGGAAAAAATTATCCCGTATGATGAACACCTTCTGATAAGATATGTACGATAACTTAGATACTATTAATGTACGAAATTATCAAGGTATCAAGTTCAATTTTTTTTCACACAATGCTCATTCTCTTATAATTATATCTTCGTTGTTAAACTACACATACATGTGATAGTAGAAAGTGGATACAAATATCAGCTAACTGTCAAAAATTTATCCAGAATTGCACAAGTATATAACATTTTAAATATCTTTAGTAGCACACTTTTTTATAAATTTAAACATATGCAACATCATATGTTTCTTGTCATAATAATTTTTGGCACTTAGCTTATATTTAATTTCCATTCGTTAATAATAATTTTATATATTTAGAAAGATCAATGAATTTAATTATATTATCACTTATTATTTAAATGTTAAATTAAGGCTTTAGAAAATTCTAGTCTCAGCTATTCTTGATAAACGAACAAATATCTAGATATATCCACACTCAGGTCCCTAATTCCTTGAGATGAGGCAATCAACCTTTGTGTTCGATATGTACGAAGCAAATCAGAAGAACTATGCCTCATATATTTTCACAAAAATCGATTCAAGATTACGCAATAGTTATATTTACTAAAGTAATTAAGTTCAACCGTTCGTGTATGGAAAAAATATATGTGTAAAGTACAATTTAACACAAAAATAACTTGAAAATTTGTTGCAACATCATCGCAATGCAAATGCAATCATAAGGTTTTACGCGTTTTAGGAAAGTTATTTAAAGTAACGCCTGAATATTTTTCACTGTCATATATTTTCAACTTAGGAATAGCATTTTTTCAAAACTTTCTAGCTTAAAAAAGTTAACTCTTTTCGCTCGGATTCAACGGAATGTTAATGAAGTACAAAATTGTGTAACAACGCGTGTAAAGTCAATTTTGGTCAATTTTGGTGAGTTCATATTTACTTTACACAGTGACAATACTGCTTCATGCCACGATTTAAACACCTGGCGCTCACGGCGTAAGGATTGATTCTACTAACTTCACTATCAGATAGAGTATAATTGCCATCACCGTGATACCTGATGGTTACCTCGAAATTACCGTTACCGGGAGCTGTTTGAATCATGTAGAAATATGTGATGCTGGATAAGTTATCCGTGCCGAAGTCGATCACCTGATCCACTCGGTGCACCTTCTTTAGCTTGAGCCGCGCGCATAGTCGCCGGCCCTTCTTGTCCTTATAATTTTTTACGATACTCTCAATATGATCCAGGAACTTCTGCACGCCACCGTTGGCGATTCTGTCATTGACGTTAATCGACTTGAAAGCCGTGCAAGTGCACCAATGATAAACCACACCTGCGTCCTGACAGCCCCTCTCTCTAGGGACTGGCGCGAAAAGGGACTGGCAGGTGGAACATCCTGGACTGGAATCAGCATCACCACCTCCGATGGCGAGAACATCCCGTAGCGTTTCGTAGAGATCGAACGGCGAGGTGAGTCGATTCTGATTCACCGCAAGAGCTCGTTGGGCCTCGGGATTCTTCTGGCGGAACCATTCGGGTAACCAGATGTAAATGTACGGTAATCTCTCCTCGTACCATCCGACAAAGGTATTGCGAAATTCGCCCCAGCGCATACCGTGATCGCTCAGGAAGATTATCATCGAGTCGTTCAGTATTCCCTCCTGTTCCAGAAACTCGAATTTCTTCAACACACGAGTGTCCATCGACGAAATACCATTCATATTGTCATGGCTGATCGTGTTTGTCCAGAAGAATCCGAAGTATGGCACGCCGACAAAGGTTTGGGCAAAATTTACAGCGTAATCGAAGATCCGTTCGAAGCTTAATTTGGGACCCGTACAGTATTTCATGTTGAATCTGCAAACAGCGCGAATGAAAATTTCATCAATCAGCAAAAAGATCATATTGCTCTTTGGACGGTAATAGTTAACTCTTACCTTTTCTTGATTTTAAGAAGTTTCTCGCTGGCCAACATATAGGGTCTCAAGTAGTAATCCGTAGGCGGCTCGACAAAACCAACCTTGAGGTAGTTAAATGTGTTGAGGATAGTCTCGTCCTCACCATAGGCCGTGACGTAACCAGCATTGCGGAAGTTGTGCCAAAGAAAAGGGCAGTTGTCGAGTTTGTAAGCCACTGTCGGCTTGCACCGAGAATATGCTTGTTGTGGTGTCTGACCGGTCAAAATTGCCATCAGATTCGGAAACGTATTGTCGCCGATTTTATTATAGCCTTTTAGACCGATCCAGCCAGTCTCACGCAGATATCTCTCGGTTTTCGGCATAGCTCGGTAGAAATTCAGCCGACTGACGCTGTCGATGCCGAGGACGAGCACGCTCAACTTTCTTGAAAAGTTTCCGGGCTGGCTGCCATTGTGATCTATGCGTTCGCGTACCTTCTCCGGGTTCAAGATTGCGTGAACGTTCTCATACACCGTATTAGTTGACAGCTTCGTGTTCTTCGTCTTCGCTTTGGGCTTCGATTTCGCCTTCACCTTGCACGATACGTACGCCACCTCCATTTCGCGCGGAAGCATCACTTGTCCGGTGAAGTTCTCGCACTGCTTGACTCTATTAGGAAGAAAGGATCGGCAAATGTTTTTCAGGAAAAATTCTAATCGTATAGGCCAAATAGCTTGCGACTTCGATCTCTTCAAGTACAGTTTTTTATATTATTTTTTTTTATATCATGAATAAATAAACAAAGTAATTCTTGCCACTTAATTCTTTTCTCAGCAGATTAAATGCACCTGAATGTCTTAAGATGACACTGGAACTTTCAATGCAAAGAGTGACGATGATAAATCTTACGATATCGTAGAGTCGTAGTTGTCCTTCTTGGGCCTATCCACTTTGGGCCTGACTACGGGCGACCAGCAGCAGGCAACATCGCTATGCATGGTTTTTATGGCGGGATCGAGAGAAAGAAATACGCTGCCGTTAGGCTCCCTTGAAATTTGCGAAAGGACACGATCGTTCGGGCATTTCTCCAGTTTTTCCTTCCTCACGAATTTCGCGATGGACGGATCCAAAGGCTTTTTGGACAGCATATGACATTTCGGATTCCATACGAGATAACCATCCACCATGCCTATCGTCAAACATAATTCGATATAATTCCACCTTAGACTTCAGACTTTGATAATGTAGTGCGTATTTTTGTCATAACTTTTTGAATAAGCAACGATTTCATTAAAAATGAAAGTATCTATGTATAATACATCTATGAAAACATTTAAGATGTTAAAAATATCGTTAAATGTATATGACATTCTAAGAAGATTTGGAAAAAACATCTATGTTTCGGATATACTCAAAAATATACCATATATAAAATATTTACAAATTAATGAAGTAAAGTTCTCATCATTGATCGTCAACTATTTAGTTTACATGAACTTACTTGATTAAAATAAATGGTTAAGCGATATATATATATATATATATACAGGTTTATTACTTAACCATTTATTTTACTCAAGAATAATATCATAAATACGATTAATGAGAACGATTAAATACGATACACGAGAACTTTGCTTCATTAACTTGTAAATTTTACAAATATCGAAAAAAAAACTTATCGATATCAATTGCTGATATTGATTTTTAAGCACTAAATTTTTCTCTGCACTTTTTATAATATATAAGTTACATTGCAAATGTAATATAATATAACAAAAATGCTACACTGTAGTGGTAAATAATAATAGTATTAATAGTATTACTACTACAATGGTGCTGAATACTATTAATGTCACTGCAATAGCGAATACAAATAGTATTTACAGTAGTGACAATAGCATCTATTATTGCAGTAGTACTGAATACTAATTAGATTAGACTACTATTAGATCCAATAGTATAATATACAATAGTATAATATACCACTGCAATAACATTATTGAATCTAATAGTGTACATTAACATTGACAATATTGCAATAGTGTTAAATACTAGTTCAGCAGTGACAGTTCAACACTATTGCGTATCATTAGTAACATTTCGCCAACAACTCTATCAAATGTGTCGTGATTATTTAGACATTGCATTGCCTTCTACTTTCGTAGTCAGGGAATGTAGTTCGAATATATACACGAGGGCGATTATTGTAAGTTCGCATTTAATTAGCCATTTGATCTTCGATGTTCTTAAGTCATAACGCGTTGAGCTCATAAAGAGTATGGCTACTACGAAGGTGTTTAAAAAATTAAGTTGTCATTTCCAAGAATGAATTTGATCTTCATTTGACCTGCTTCCATTTGCTTCCATTCAAGGTTTAATCTTATTAATCAAAATATGTCCACATCGATACTACATAACATCGTAAAAATAGGATGTCAATAGGATATTTCAATATCTTGCATTGTTCCGGAGAAATTGATTAAAATGGAACACCATATATAAAAAATAATATAAAATTTTTGTAGAATATATATAAAAATATTAACAATACATAATATACGCGTACATCAAATTGTATTAGACAACAAACAGCATGTGCATAACACACGATTGTACAGTTTAATATGATATATTATAATAATTATAATATTAAATGTTTTATATTAATATTATGAAAATGCACGTCAATATACTCAAATGAGGAAATAAGACAATATAAGAAAAAATGAGACTCACCTTCAGCAATGTTATACGACTTGAAGGACGGATACTGTAGAACGTCGTATTCGTATTCGTCGTCGGAAACGAGATAAAGGATGATAATGATCAGACACGGTAAAATCAGAACGAGGCCGGACTTTCGGCAGAAGCATTCGGTGAAACGTAACCATTTCGCCTTCCACATTATGCTGTCGTGGTCATGCCTTTCTCAGGGTCACGGGAAATCAAAAGTGTTTCTGCATCATTGCAAATCGCATCGCACTTCTATGAATTTCGTTATATTTCGCAATTGGTTTACCCTTATGAAGGACATCTCAACTGTTCGCCACTCGTCTCCTAAGTCTCTTGCATAACATCGCCAATTGCAACATAAACATCCGTCTTTCCGTGAATTATTGTTGTCTTCGTCCTCGGCTTCTTCGTCCTCTTGACAAGAGAAGACGGTCATCGAGCAGCCGCCGTACTTTGATTCGATAATGAGCCTTGTTCTGAAATCGAGTGTTGTCAATGTCATTGCAAAAATAGGACGTTATATTTACTTATTAAAGATCATTATTCCTTTGTACAATAAATACTTTCTTTCGCTTTCAGCTTAACTAATTTAGTAGCGATAATTAAAGAGCTAACAAGACAGTGCAATACAGATTACGATGTGTTCAGAATCGTGTAAAAACCTTTATTGCATTAATGGCAAGATGACATCTTCAAAATTTTCAAATTGGTTTCGACTCACTTTGTAATCATTCTCAGCAATAAATTATAAATAATGCAAATTAGGTCAACCCATTCGAATCACTCACAGATTTCCAAATTGAAATGTTGTTTCAACAGAGCGAAGAACCTATCATGAAATTTTCGATATATTAATGTATTTAATCCTATTATAAATTAATGTGAAATTACATTATCCGTATATGTTACTTTTAAGTAATTAGATTCTTGAAAATTGAATCAAATTCATCAAGTTATCTAATACTATTCTGTGATTGGCTCGGTGATTGGCTTATATAACATCTTAAGATTGTACTTAAGAAAAATATCTTATTTCAGTTTCCAATTTTTGTTTTTATTATAGATTATATTTACGTAGCCTTAATCGGATTTAATAACATCCGTAATTATTGGCCAATCATAGCTATTTCTCTAAAAAATGAAATGACTGTGATTGGCCATTTTTCTAATTACGGATGTTATTAAATTTTAAGGATCTCTTTCACTAATTTCGGTTAAAGTTAGCGGACAGTTAACTCCTAGTAGTACCAATTAACATCAATTCAATGTATCACATCTTCTCTTCTCTCTTCTTCTTCTATGACAACTATTGGCATTACACTGACGAGCTAACCGTCTGTTAGCCTTAATCAAAGTCGAAAGAAGATTCTAAGAGTACCGTGTAAGTCAATGTATGAATTTTGATTGCGCACTTTCCGCTTATTCGTTTGTGCATGACGGGATAAAAATAATCGTAGTTTATTGAGAGACAGGAATGTATTTACGTAATGCACAGGTATTACTCAATATATAAGTTAAATATAGGGTCTATTATTGTGTATAAAGGCCTAGTCTAGATGCGGAGTAAGACTGGTATAAAAAGTGAGAGTAAGAAATTGATCAATTGCAGTATGTAAGAAGAATAATTGACTGTGATTGGTCAATTTCTCACTCTTACTTCTTACACCAAGTTTACTTCATATATTATAGACCAAGCCTAATATTTAGTGTGCACGAAAGAACAAAAAAATTAAAAAAATAATTAGAATAAACTAAAAAACTTAAGTAAGAGATTGGAGACCATGATATTTGGTCCACCATATTTTTCAAGATTTGCATAAAATAGAATGATAAATTATGAATAAGATAGAGAATGAGATATCTATTATATATATATATATATATATATTATCTTATCCATATCTTGAAAGGCGAATCAATCAGAAGTTGTCTAAACGATGTCTGATCTCTTGCTTGATTTCTAGAGTAAACTATAAATCAATGATATTTTTATTACTCAGATAATTCGATATTTGAAACGATATTATTGCTGTCCAATAATTTAATATTTGAAATAATATTATAGCTATCCAACGTGGATTGAATAAAAAAATTCCTCCTCCCCTCATTTGATTATATTCTATATAATGGTAAAAATACAAAAGGCCTTGAAATGAAGATAACATTCTTTTGATACAATATCATACTTCATAAATAAAGAGCGGATAGTAAGATAAAAAAATGAATCCCCTCCATATACCTCCTCTAGGAAGCGTAGGTGTATGTATAATTGAATATCGGACGTTGAATGATGCGGATTGCGCTACGTGATACAGTAATCGTCAAAAGTAACGTTAAAATGTAAAAAATGACATTAGTCTGTTTCATAGAGTCAAGGAACGAAATAGGTTTACATAGGTAAATAAATGGTGTTGCGTATTTTTATAGAAGATTGCGAGAAAGTAAAGAAGCTGCTAGAATTGGCAGAATACATCAAAATTTAATTTGCATAATAATATAGAATGATTTTAATTTTCAAGGTCTCAAGAGGAAAAGTCAATATATTCTGAGAGATGATGATATCGATTATTACAAGCAAAAATATTCATATGAATATGCATTTTGAACAGAAAAATATCCTAATTTAAACGACCGTCAGGAGATAAGCAAATATAAAATATTTAAATAAATGAATCATTTAACTCTACTTATATAATTAAATAGCATAGATAATACATAAATCCATAAATACGTTTTGACTCACAGAGTCTTCATCAGTTCATAATTAAATATATAAACGATAAAAAACTTTTTAACAAACAAAATCTTAACATATTAAAAACCTAAAAATATAAAATAATGGAAGGCCAAGTTAATAAACCAGACCAAGTCAATAAATTACCAAAAGATAAATTTATATCTACAATTAAATTTGTATTATCATCTACTTTATTTTTAATGATGTAATTTATAAACAAGCTCCTATAATATTCCTATGGGTTCTCCCGCCAATATTATTGCAGATATTATTATGCAAGATTTGGAGGAAAGAATTTTAAGTACGTTAGAGTTGCCTATCTATTTTCGTTATGTTGATGACATCTAATTATTTGTTGTTTCCAAGAAGTGAATAATATTCTTGAAAGGTTTAATGATTAACGACCGATTGAAATTTACTGAATTTACTACTTTATCGAATTAGAGGAAAATCATTGTCTTAATTTTCTGAACTCTTCTTCGATTGACAAAAATAACAAAATTGTAATGAATTAGTACCACAAAGAAACTAGATTAATTATCGTTTTTCTTAAACCATCGAAATGCCATAGGAACCAATTTAGAGTGGATTGTTCAATTCTTTTGTCTCATTCTTCGTTTTACAAAAAGAAAATTGAGTTATGTATTGATATCTTATTAGACAATAGTTATTTGATTTTATTTTTGACATCATTAACAAAAGATTAAAACATTTAATTGTTAATAAATTAAAAATATTAAGTGATCAGAGTTCAATTGATGAGGAAAAGACGACTTTAAACAACAAACGACAAAAAAGGATTTTATTGTTTTTCCCCTGATGAAAATAAAAATCAGTGCGTAAGTCGAATGTAATGGGAGAATAACAAAACCGTAAACGAAACTTCTAGGAGGCAAAAATTGAAATATCAAAATGTAAAAGAAGCGTAAAAGTGTTTCTGTTACTCTTCAATTACATTCGATTTACGCTCTGATTTTTATTTTCAGAGTCTTTATTTTTAACTGGTTTGCGACTTAGCAGCGTTGATAATAAATAAATCTACAATCACAGTAGGTTTTCTTAATAAACTTAATAAATTTATAAAAATATACAAAGATAAAACTGAATTTGTTTGCAATAGTCAATTAATCTATTAATTATCTGTAATCTAAAATTAACTGTAAAAATAGCGACAGTTCATACGTAGGACGAACGAGATTAAAAGAATACATTAACAATATAATATTAGATCCATCTAACATTCATTGTCAGTTATATTTGAACGTATGATAAGAATAAATCTCACTTTTGACTGGAAGAACGTTAAAATTTTAGATTTCGAACATAATAATAAAAGACTCATTACATCATAAAAAATCATGGAAATAATTCATATAAAACAACAAAAAAAGAAACAAACAAAAAATTTAATTATATAAATAATAAATTAATTGTATAAGGCTCGGTTGCACTAACGTTATTTTAATTTTAAGCGAAGCTTAAAACTCTCTTTGTCCCTTTTTGGTTCTAAAATGAAATAGAGAGAGTTTTAAGTCTCGCTTAAAGTTAAAGTAATGTTGGTGCAACCGGGCCTAAATGACTCAGAATGTTGGATGATTCATACTTTGATATCCAACGAAACATTCTGATAATATAATAGATAACCAAAAGGTATTTATCTACCGAATATACTTTCATAACTTTCAAAGTCATATATATTTCGATGTGTATCATTCGTTTTTCACTCAGCTATTGGAACTCGCTAGCAATAAAAGACTAACAAATAAATACCAGACAGTTTAAATCTTTATTTCCGATACGTTGCCTAAATTTATTAACATTTTTGTTTACATGGTCAATTCTTTATTATTTCTTTATTAAATCTGAATTTGTAACTGCCTAGATTAATTAATTTTATACATTTGACAACATACTTTATACATTGAACTAAATGTAATTTTCACCAAACGATAAATTCGTTATTGGAATTTTACATTTTGATGTTAACTACTTACATTATCGTTGGACACGATATGTTTAAGTATCTTCAATTGCCATATCATATACGGATGGAGACTATTATCTGGTTTATTAACTCGACCTCTTATTCATATTTTGAGGTTTAAGAGAAAGATATGATAAAATTTTATAAGTTTTTTATCATTTCTATGTTTAATTTTAAGCTAATAAAGACTCTGTGAGCCAAAACTTGTTTATGCATTTATATGTATTATGTAGGTACGTCATTATTTTATTAAATAGTCAAATAATTTATTTATTTAAATATTTTACCTGCTCTTGGTCGTTTAAATTAAGATATTTTTACTTTGCAAACAAACAAACTTATTTTACTTTATTTGTTCATTAATTGTGAATTTTCAAAAATTTATTATAAACTTTAAAAAGTGTATCACCTGAATAATGAATTATTAGAAAAAGTACATAATATCTTCTTTTTAATAGTAATTTTGCAACTGCACATTTAGTCTCGAAAAAAAACCATTTGAAATGGAATACGCATTTATATAAATATTTTTCTCGGAAATCTCGGAAACAGGATGTTGAAAAATGTTCATACGAACACTTTTAATTAAAATGATAGATAACATCATCTTCTATAGAGTACTGAATTTTCCTTCTAAGACAATTTGCATACAAAATTAAAATCGTACTATTTTACATACAGATAGCTTTGGATAAATTGATAAATTTAATTTTTTTCTTTAAACGAAATTCTTGAATATCAATAATTTAAATTTTTATAAATTAAGCTTTAGAAATACAAGTAAGTGCAACAGTGATTTGTTTCTGATTTAATTTTATGATTAATTTGATTATTTTGTATTTCAATTAAAACTTCACAAATTGGTATTTATTCAAAGAACAGATGAAAACTTTGACAATCCAAAGATTGGTATCTTGAAAACTACAGAACTTTTAAATAGCAGCGACGTATTTGAAAGATACACAAGATACACATTGCACATTTATGCTCTCGGCACAAAGACGACGATATCTCGGAACGCAATCGGTGCGCACCTATCTCAACTTTCGCACGCGCACGAACAGTCATGAGAAACAGCTTCGCGAAGTTCCTCTTTCAATTACCTCTCGCACCCGCGTGACGTCGTACGAATAGGAAGCAGCAAGTCCCGTGTAAGTCCTCCGATTATGTCTGGATGCAGAAGCACAAATCGTCACGTTTATCCCGATTCGCGTTCTGCAACGCGATTCTGACGTATACCCACGAAGGGATAATGATTCTCGGCATATAACAAGCCACGGCACGAGGTCTCACCCCCCGCTCGCGACGAACGAGGGCTGCTGCAAAGTTTAATCGAATCGAGCTGGCCGGGCCAACGCGCGCGCGTGCCACCCACGCTGCAACCAGGCAACTCCGTCACTGACGGAGATTTGCGCATACGTCGCCGTCGCCGTCGCCGTCGCCGTCGCCGTCGTCGTCGTCGTCGTAGTCGTCGTCGTCGTTGTCCTTCTTGTTGTCCTCGTCCTCGTCCTCGCCCTCGTCGTCGTCGTCGTCGTCGGTTTCCTCTTCTAGATCCGCGGCCGTGAAACTTTTCTTATCGTTGGCGCGCCGTCCTACGTTCGTTCTTGCACGGCCTTCAGACAGCAGCGAGACGATCTCGCATGCCGGGAAACGGCCCGCGACTTTAATCCTCGCCACACTCGCTTTCGGGTTACCCGCGCCGGTAGACACAATCTCGGTAGACTCGGGCTGCGAACCC